TTCCATTTGAAATAAGCAACTTTTTGAGGTTTAAAAACATGCAAGTTTAGAGGCTAATTGCGCGGTTTAGAAGTATTTCCTTATAATTTAAAACAAATCTACACGTAGATCATGATGTTCTGTTAGAATCGCTGAAAACTGTTCTCCAAAATTCGCAGCGGGTAGTGTACAGCATCGATTTTTGTGGAACCCAGTAGCTGTCAAAACTTTCACATTTTTACGAATAACTCGGAAATCGTAAATTTTTCAGGTAAAACGGTTGAAACAAACATAAATTAAAATTGAACGGCCAATCTGAAAATAACAAAAAAAAGGGGGTTTCATTTAAAAAACCAGAGTTGGTAACTACCACACGTTTATGATGCACCCTGTATATTGGAAAGTAATTTTAGAATGTGGACCTTTTAAACGTGAAAAACTTTCGTTGGACGAATTTTCTTGTAAACTTCATATTTACTGAGATATCGCACTTTGACGCACTAATGAGCAACCCTGTATATAAAAAAAGTATTTTTTAAAGCATTTTCTATTCCGTATTTGATCTAAAAATTAACGGCTCTTCTCGCTTTGCAAATAATCTTAAATTGTGGTAAAATAAATAGATTTGCAATGCTTATCGCTGAATAAATATATCCATGTATTGTTTTAGGAATTGTTCGGACAAATAATACACTCAAACAGTGGCTAATCGATCTGAGGGAGCAATTTAAAGTATCTTACATCTTAACGGACAACTTAAACAAAGAATCATTAGAAATCATTCAATGAATTCAAGGAATTCAATTGAAAATTTGTTTGGTTTAATAAGGCGCGTGAGTGGACTTCATAATCACCCACACTTATTAGAATTTAGATACAGGTTTCGAAATTGTATAATGGGGAGAAATGAATGGATCTTGTCTGTAGGGGGAAATACTGAATCGGATTCCAATGCAGAAGAAAGTCAAAACATCGACAAAACATGACTTCTCCATGCTAAGTAAATATTTTTTCCCCCTTACTAGAAATGTCGAAAACTGCTGATGACGGTCAAGAGTCAAGTAATGATCTGCATTTGATCCTTGAAATTGTTCAGTTGAAATATGATGCAATAGAACATCTGGCGGGATTCATATGTTTTAAATTAAATCTACCATGGTGCCAAGACGATCAAACCACTTTTACGTGGACTGAAATTTCGGAGGGGGGCTTTAATGACTACAAAAAAAAACAGACGATGTTTCTTGATAAAATCTATAAATAAAAAAGCAGTTCGAAGCAATTTTCATAAACAATATATATTTCAATAAACAATATTTAAAAAACATCTGCTTTTAAGCGAAAGACATTACTGTAAGTGAGAAAGCAAAATTAGATACCCCTTTTCAGGTCAAGTATGTATTTTCGGATAAAAACGTTGAACAGTTTTACAAATACAGTAACAAAAGTAAGAAAAGAAAAATTATAAAAATTTTACAATAATGCAGAGTAATTGCCGTCAATCAGCCACCTCCCATTCTATTGACGATATAAACTAGCGCCGATTCGAGAAGTATTTGATTTATTTGTGTGACCGCGTCCGATACACATGTGTGTGCCAGCCGGAAAGTGCAAAAGATGGGGATAACTCGCACTGAATGCGCCGGTATAAGCAAACAAGCTAAGCAGTTCTTGTGATATTTGTCAAAGTTAGAATATCTAATTATATCATGTTATGCTTAGAGAGATTCGATAAAATGACATACCTTGTAATATATGTCATAGTGCAACTTATTTCTATTTATTTATTTTTTTTGTCGGACTTTTTAGTTGAAGTAGTTTGGGTATGTCATTTTAGCACAGGCCCCCCTGTACTCTAATCTGATTTTTTACCTCCTTTAACCCTGGACTAGTCGCGGTAGGTTTGACAGACTCCACACTTCAAACTTCCTCGGTTATTCGCGCATTCGCACCACTTAGCACATCTATGTAGGTTATCGATTTGTTAGGTAGTTCGATGTGCCACGTGATTGTGGAGGGTCGTGCAACTCGTTACCTGTCAAACGTTATCTTGAGTCTCCTAGACTCCACGCGACTACTTCTGTTTTACTTTGTTCACGTGATTACTGGTAAGTAGGTCTATTTTCTGCTGTGACACATCATTATAATTTTTCATTTCTAGTTGAAAATAAACTATGGGAGCAGCTAAGATTGATGGGTCTCTGGGAAGAAGTTGACTCTGATGAGGCGCCAGTTGATAAAGATTCAGATCAAGCTGATGATGTTGTGGAATGTAGCTCTGAAGGCAGTGATACCGTTCAAGAAGATGACTTCTCCGACGATGACAGAAGCCCCGTTAGAGCACCAGCAAAAATTCCTAGAGCTGCGTTTTATTTGAGCAAAAACAATACTACAAAATGAAACAAGCATGTTCCAAACCAGGCGTTGAGAATTCGATTCTGGAATATAATAAGTCAACTTACTGGGGCAAGAGGTACCGCTAAACAAGCAGAAAGCCCTTTCGAGTGCTGGAATCTCTTTATCAACGATGAAATACAAATATCTATATAGCAACAAAAACTCAGAATTGTAAAACAGATAGGGACTGCAAGGAAACAGATAAAATTGAAATAAAAACCGTTATTGGTTTACTATACTTGTCAGGGTTGCTGAAAAGCTCCGAGTTGAGCGTTGACGAGAGATGGGTCAGAAAAGGAACCGGATTAGAAATGTTCTGGCTCACAATGAGCAAGCAACGATTTATATTTCTCATGCAGCATTTACGTTTTGACGATCGTGCTACCAGAAAAGAGAGAAAGAAAACAGATAAACTAGCGCCGATTCGAGAAGTTTTTGATTTATTTGTGTGACCGCGTCCGATACACATGTGTGTGCCAGCCGGAAAACGATTTAATGCGAACAAACAATACCATCGGGCTATTGGGTTTTGTGACGCTTGAATCAGTGTCGTGCGCTACCGCTAATTCGCGGTATATAATAAAATGTTAAAAAAAAACAAACAGTTCTCCCAATCAATTGGAGCTGACATTAGTACGAGAACAACCGCTTGAAGCAAAACTAATGGAAATGCAAAAAATGTATAAGGATCTAATTAAATACACAGAGCTGGAAAATTTATTATTGGCTGTGCCTGCTATAGAAACCGAAGAAATCAAACAATACTACACGGACGAAGAGGAACTGACAAATGAAACAGAATGGATTCAGGAGATAAACCGGAAAAGGAATACTTCCGCGACACCACCACCATTGAAAGAGAAAACATCAGGTAACCCTGTTATCCAAAAAGCTCATAGGTTTCCTCCCATAGTTGAAAATATTAACAACTTTTCTGAAATATACTATAATTAAAGTCGTTAATGATAAAACTATCAAAATTAACGCACAAAATGAGAATAATTTAAATTACTTTCTACGGTGTTGAATGAAAAAAAATTTTCATGGTATTCGTGTGAAAATAAGCAAAATACGATTGGCGCGTATGTAAATACTCGATATATTTGCAAACTACGAGTAATTTTAAGAGTTTTTTTTTTAAGACAACCAATAATATATGGTCTCTCCCAAAAGTAAAATGTATCCCGGGAGCTCACAGTCCGAATTGGGTACAGAGAAGATTAGCATGGCCCCTGCGCAAGGATGACACGCAAAATCGTGAAGCGTTCCACATTTTTTCCACTGATGTTAGTAAATAAGTACCCGTAGATTAAGTAGCAA